TTGTATTTAACACATTTACTCCAGAAGGCACACATCATCTTTGCCGCATTTAATGTTAACTTTGTAAGGATTTCTGTTTCTTGCCTGTAGGTACATAAGTAGAAATCTTTCTTTTGTTGCTTTTTGTAATTTTCCTTTTTATGGGTTTTCTTAGACTTGGTTAATTTGTTATTTTAACAACAGGTCACTTCTAACATACGACAGCTCCTTGGGTTGACTTTCATCAGTTATCTTTTTATTTTTACTTTTTAGAGCATGCAAGTGGGGGAGAAGGGTGGAGGGAGGGAGGGGGAGAGTGGTGGGGGGAGACAGAGAATCTTAAGTAGGCTCCATATTTAGTGCAGAGCCTGATGCAAGGTGCAGTCCCACAACCCTGAGATCATGACCCAAGCTGCAATCAGGAGACAGATGCTCAATTGAATTAACCATCCAGGCATTCCCTGTCAGTTACCTTTTTAAAGAAGTATGGATCTTTTAGATAACCATATGTATTATACTTCCTTTTGTCACTATTCTTAAAGTTATTCTCGCAAAGTTAGTAGTGGGTACATCATCTTTGATTTTTCACAGTTACTAAATAACTAATAGCTTGTATACACTTGGGGAAGAATATTTGATAGCTCATCAGAGACATGGAATACTGATTTTTTTTTCTTAAATCAGATTTTTTGCTTTTAAAATGTAATTACTTCTGTAGCTAGCCTGCACAATAGCCCCCTGATGATCCTCACCTGTTATTCCTGCCCTTGTGACCTTCCCCCCCAAAACTGAAATGTGGCTGACCTGTATGATAAATGGAATATTGCAGGAGTGTGCCTCTTAGGCTAGGTCATATATAACTGCTTTCTCTTGGATCACTCACTGTGGGAGAAGTCCCTTTCCATGTCCTGAGGACACTCAGGCAGCACTAAGGAGAGGTCCATGAAGTGAGGAACCAAAGCCTCCTGCCAGCAACCAGCATTGACTTGACAACTGAGTGAGCCATTGTGGAAGCAGATGCTCTAACCCCAGTCCTGCCTTCAGATGATTGCAGCCTCAGCTGACATCTTGCCTGCGACCCCACGAGAGACCTTAAGTCTGAACCACCCAGCTAAGCCAGTCCTGTATTGCTTACCCACAGAAATATTAAATATTTAAAAATTTTTTTAATTTTGAGAGCGAGCATGTGAAGGGGTAGGGGAGAGAGAGAGACAGACAGACAGACAGACATGGAGAGGAAGGAAGGAAGGAAGGAAGGAAGGAAGGAAGGAAGGAAGGAAGGAAGGAAGGGAGGGAGAGAATCCCAAGTAGGCTCCGTGCTCAGCACAGAGCCCAATGCTGGGCTCGATCCCATGACCCCAGGACCATGACTTGAGCTGAAATCAAGAGTTGGATGCTCAACCAACTGAGCCACCCAGGAGCCCCTAAATTAATATTTAAATAGTTAAAATAATGTGTATTGTCTTAAATCAGTACATTTTGGCATAATGTGTTATGCAGCAATAGAGGACTAATGCAGCTACTGAACACTTTTAAACGTTTCCTGTTGATCACGTAGTTCATAGTTATTTGTAGGCATAGGGGTTGTGGAGGCTTCTGTTATGATTTGTAGCATTTGATAGGAGATTAGGTAGTGTACTATACAAGTCATTGACTTTAGGGCATTCATAACTCTGAATTTTGGCTCTGCGTACGTGCCTTGATGAAATTAAATTTATGATCATAATTTTATGCTGAAAATCTGTAAAATGGAATAATTATTCTTAACTCTTGGGTGTTTTTTTAAGTCAAGATGAAGTGAGATATCTGATGTTAAGTCTGTTATATGACGTTCTGTTATATGAATGTCACCCTTTCCCCCGGTGACGATGTGGTTCTGTGACCTAGAGGTAAAGACCGCTCTTGCCATTTGAGTTTGCACCTCTGCCTGGTGCGTCATAATCTTCAACAGGCCCAGCACAACCATTTTCCTTTTACTTACTTTTTCTTTTTACTAGGACGTGCCTAGGTGTGATTTTCTTCATATTTATCTTGCTTGGGATTACAGAACTTCTTGAATTTGTGGGTTGATGTCTGTCAGTTTCAGGAAATTCTCAGTTCTCTCCTATTCTCCCCTAACCCCTGGCTCATTTTCCTTATTCTTCTGGGACTGTAATTAAAAGTGTTAGCCCTTTTCACTGTGCTCCACATATCTCCTATCCTTTTTCTGTATTTTTCATCCATTTTTCTACTCTGGCTTCCCTTTGGAGATCTATTTGACCTGTTTTACACTTCAGTAAGCCTTTCCTTAGCTTTGCTAACCTTCTGGTAAGCCATCTGTTGCATCTTAGTTTCAGTTTTAAAATTTCTACTTGATTCTTTTTTACAGATTATAATTCCCTGTTGAAAATTTTTATCTCTTTCATCTGTCTTCTCCATCTTCTTTTATTGTCCATACTAATCATAGTTACAGTAAAGCCCTTTTTGATGATTCCAGGTCACCTGTGGGTCTACTTTTATGGTCTTTTCTCCTCTCTGAGTTTTAGTCACTGGGTCCTATCTTGTGGCATACCTTGTCATTTTTTTTTTTAAATTGATTTTGATATTTATTCTCATTATTGTGAGTGAAAATGGTAGAGGCCCCAGTACTTTTGTACTCCAAAGAGAAGTTTTCTTTTTCCCAGGAGTCCCCTTGTCCTTTACTGGACAGATAGGTTGGTAGTTACATACCTTAATCCAGTCGGGTTGAACTGAGTCAGAGACACACTGAAGTTTGGGTAAGCTACTTTTTCATGTCCCCTGGGGACCTGGGGTTCCAAGTAACGTGTGGTGTTCATCAGGACCTCATTTGTTGGTAATTCCTGGACTCTAATTCTTATCTTCTAAGCACATCAAGGCAGCTATTTTGTATTTTTGAGGCTTTGTGTTTAGCTTTTTAGCCTCATGCCCCATGTAGCTTTGGAAATTGGCAATTGTCTCATGGGGAAAATTGGCTGTGTAACAGGCTTACTTCTCTGCCCCTCTCCTCCATTGGGATCTTAGCCCCTCCAGTTTCCTGTTTTGTTACTTGAGTCCTACAAGTGCCAGAAGATTTGCGGCTTTTCCTACCCTCAGTGGTGGCCATCTTCCGAGGCAGAGCCTGGGTTCTCAGCCTCTTGTCCTATACCCAGAATCAGTAAATGGCTGGAGATTGCCAGCTCACCTTTCTGTGGTTTCTCCACCATCTTGGAATCTTGGCCCTTCTAGTTCAGGTTGCTTCAGCAGCCCTTTAATTGATGCCTTAGACTCGTGCTGTGTATTTCATTCAGCCTTTCTAGAGGCTTAGAGGTGGGAGCATTGGTGTGCCTGAAGCTATCTGAATGTTAGCGGGAAAGTGAGGACTATACAATTACAGTACTTTTGAAGGGAATGTCAGTGAGCAGGTTGTTTTCATGAACTTCTGTTTTGGCCAGCTTTATCCTGTACTTATTGGTACATGCACATTTTATAGTTTGTCATTACATGTTGATACAGTAAAATAACATCTTTTCCTGAGTCCTCATAATAATTTTTCGTAATTCTCCTTGATTTAATTCAGAACCATTATAGGCCACATAGATTCCTAACTTTGTTCCATAACTGTGAGGATTAAGGATATCTTTTGTTGTTGTATCAATAGTTAGGTTGAACATAGAAAGTGAGTAATAATACATACAAAACAACTAAGAAATTTTTAACACATTAAAAAAAATTTTTTAATGCATTAGGTTTATTCAGATGAAAGTAAATGGTACATTTTCTAACATAAATGATCATGGGTTACCAGTTTTTATAATTAAAATATTTTTTGATGTATGAATACAGTTTGTACATAAAATTTCCAATTTCCTTTCTTTGATTTTTTTTTTTGTAATTATATTTTTCTAACTAAAATGAGATATTCTCAAATCCAGCAAAAGTATTTATGGTCTTAAAATACAAAATCCACATCTTTAGAAGTTTATTGTATTCCTGTCTCACTGCTGTTTTTTGTCCATGACGTCAAAGTGACCAGTATTTTGCCCACACATCTTTTATTGGCATATATGGACGTACGGTTTTTGTATTTATTTATTTATTTGTCTTTATTTATTTTTGAGACAGAGAGAGACAGAGCATGAATGGGGGAGGGTCAGAGACAGGGAGACACAGAATCCAAAACAGGCTCCAGGCTCTGAGCTGTCAGCACAGAGCCTGATGTGGGGCTCGAACTCACAAACCGCGAGATCATGACCTGAGCCAAAGTTGGACGCTTAACCGACTGAGCCATCCAGGTGCCCCTGTTTTTTTTTTTTTTTTTTTTTTTTTTTTTTTTTTTTTTAAGTTTAGGTATTTATTTTGAGAGAGAGAGAGACTGTGCGAGTGGGGAAAGGGCAGGGAGTGAGGGGGGAGAGAATCCCAAGCAGGTTCAGCACTGTCAGCTCAGAGCCGTATGCAAGGCTCAAAGTCACAAAATCACAAGATCATGACCTGAGCTGAAACCAAGAGTTGGACGCTTAACTGTCTGAGCCTCCTAGGTGTCCCTGGGTAGATAGTTTTATATTTAATATGCCAAGGTTGATTACTGTCGACGATAAGTATGTATACTCCTGTCCTCAACTTTTGAATGTATTCTACTTGTGAAGTTGTAACAGTTGATGTACCCAATTGGAAAAATGGAAACCTGAAGCTCTATTTTTTTTTTTAATTTTAATTAATTTTTTTGAGAGCTAGAGAGCACAAGCAGGTGAGGGGTAGAGAAGGCGAGACAGAATCCCAAGCATGCTCTGTGCTTCAGTGCAGAGCCCAGTGCGGGGCTTGAACTTGCAAACTGTGAGATCATGACCTGAGCCAAGATCAAGAGTCGGACACTCAACTGACTGAGCCACTGGGGCACCCCAAAACATTAAGATCTTAACCTTTACCTATAGTTGTAGTTATTGACAATCAATGGAGGAAGCCATCTCTGTTCCCCCTTAAGAATAATGTGTTTCGAGTCTATTTCAAATCTGTGATGGCTGTCATTTTCTCTGTTTTTTGTGTAGGAAGAAGAAAGTGAGGAGGAACCCAAACTGAAGTATGAAAGGCTTTCCAATGGGGTAACTGAAATCCTTCAGAAGGACGCAGCTGGCTGCATGACTGTCCATGACAAGGTAAGGTAGCCCTTGCAGAGGATTCTTCTCAGAGTCCTTTCTGTTGTTAAGTTTGTGTCTCCTCTCGACTCCTGATGATTTTGGTGGTGGCTTTTTCCAGTAATTGTATCTCCCTCCCACTCTTCCTTTCTTCTTCCTCTCCAACAGAAGAATGAAAACGACAACCAAAAACCTGATACGTATGTACACACATGCACACACACACACACACACACACACACAGAACACATTGCAAGGGTGTATCAAGTAGAATTTAGATAGATATGAAAGATTTCTAGCAAGTAGTTCTCGGCAGCTCTATCACTTTAAATTCTTCAAACTGTTAGTAGTAGAGTTGGGAAGTGTTCAGACTGGAAATCATGTAACACTCAGTGCTTTCATGATGGGAGGAGATGTTGCATCGGAGGTGTTAGGAATCATTAGAGCGGCCCCAAATGATTACTTACATATGTTATGGGTTAATACGTTCCACATCTGGGGCTCTGCCTTAACAAAACCCCCACCAGCTTTGTGAGTCCCCCACCAGCACCCTTTGCCTCTTGGACCAAAACAAAATGTGTTCTGAAGGGGGAGTATTGGAGGCCTGGCGGTTTGAGCCACTGTCCTTTTCTCCCCTGTGGGCCTCCACAAGTGAGGCAGTCTCCCCAACTCTGATCTATCCCCTGGCTTCATCCTGAATCACCTGTAGTGTTTCTTTATCCTCCTCCTTCCCTCTACCCTTCCTTTTGTTTTTAATGTCTTTTTCTTTTTGAGAGAGAAAGCTCAGAAGCAGAGGAGGGGCGGGGGGGAGGGGGGGGACAGAGGATCTGAAGCGGGCTCTGCACGCATAGCCGAGAGCCCAGTGTGGGGCTCAAACTCCCGAACTGTGAGATCATGACCTGAGCAGAAGTCAGACACTCAGCCGACTGAGCCACCCAGGCTCCCCCTACCTTCCTTTTTACTTCAGGTTTCATCCCGCTGTTAATAGAACGCTTGTTCTCTCTTGCTTTAACCAGAAACCGCCTCCCTCGGGGCACCTCTTGTTGTGGCTGTCCCACCATCTACCCCTTCTCATCGTCGCCATCTTCCAGTCTGGCATGGCGACCACATCCCAGCCTGCTCGTCACCTTGCTTCGCTCGCTGAAGACTGGCCTTGCCATCCTTCTTGCGGGCCTTTTTCTTGATCTTAAATTTCAGTTTCCATGACTGCCCCCCAGGGACGCCTCCCCAGAATAGCGTGCCCGTTTATCCAGGTGCCTCGTTAACAGTTCCACCTTTTGTTCCATTTTTGCCAGAAGCTTGGCTCCCCCATCATGAGCGCCCCTTCTGCTCCCTCTGTAATCTCACATCTGGTTTTTGTTCTGTGTCCCATTTGGCAGCACCACAGTCCCTTTTGTCACCTAAGCCAAAGCTGGCTCTTCCTCTGCATCCACCCAGTCATTCCTAAGTCCTGGTGATTTTCTCCCTTTCCCTGCCTGTGCTCCCAGACCACTCCCTTTTCTAGTTTAATTTTTTTTTTTTTGATG